TGCTGTGTTGACATTTGAAAACGGAACCAACACCCAGTATGGTATTTCCAAGTTCAAAATGTATTGATATCGTTTTGTGAAATCAATATGGAGGTTTCCTAGTGTTGGCAGTAGGCACATAAATCGTCGTTACTGCAGGATTTGGATAAATTAGGAAAAATTGTGAAACTAACGTCTGCCCATATTCTTTTTGTGTAGAAGCAATTTGGCTGGGAAAGCAGCAACGACGTTTTTGTTTTAATTAAATTTAGTTCACCGCCTTGCAGTTGGTCACTCATATCATTGAACAATTTATATGGGTCTCTGATTTAATGAGCTTGTTATTCAATTTTGTATATTTAGTTTCCAAGAACTCTATCACATAGTTAAACAGGTTGTAAATCGAGTCAGACAGCCAACGAACTTCGGTATGAAATAACAAACGGTTAAAATCCTCGTCATTATAATAGTAACATAAAGCTGATAAAATAGTCTATCATTCAAAGAGCTGTTGCCGATTTTATTGACTGACATATTGAAATAGTCGTTCACTTAAGTTTCTAGATACCAAATGTTGTCTATGAATAACGCAAAGTACAGCAATGACATCTTTAATTTGGTTTCTTAAGTGCACTACGAAGCTTTTACGACACTGTCATAGCCGGAGCACCATCCGTAGTAACTGACATAATATTTTTCAAGGGAATCTCTTTCTCATTAAAAATCTTTTCCAATGTATTGAATATGCTTTCGCCTTTTGTATCGGTCTCAAAATTTCTAGCAATCAATAGTTCTTCACATATTTTCTTATTTATATTAAACCTCACGTAAGACAGTAACAATGCTTCATTAGTTAGTAAAGTGGTCTCATCGAGTTGAATTGAGAATTGACTTGTTCTCAGGTGTTATTATTCAAAGGAATTTTTCGGATAATCTCTGTGGCCGGTTTATGAAGCACAGTAGTTTAAGTCTTGAAAATATGCTACATTTTGTCTTTCTTATCTCGATGCATTTTATTGAAATGATCTTGCAGTCTTCAAGGCTTCATTGCTTCATTCCAAAAAGTTTTCAGACACAGAAGGCACAAAGTTGACGATGGGTTTGTAGGATTTTTTTGGTGTGAATCCCACATGACAATCCCAGATTACGTATTTTGATAATTATAAATACATCATAGTCTGACAAAATTAAAAAACTGTACTGCTGAAACTTTGTGTAGGGATGAGGCAACGTTTTAAATTTGATAGAGTTATAGTGACATAAGAATCGTGCCGAAACTATCCAACCACCCTTCTTTAAGTCTTTAAGATGAACACTTTTTATTGTAATAGTTATTAAATCATTTAAGTTAGTCAAATAGTCATAAATTTGTTTAATAGATAGCTTAAATGACAACAGTTAAGTAAATCAGCTGGTATTTAAGTGGATATGTAGCAAATTAGCCATCAGTCTTAAATGTAACATTGTTTTTTGTTTAATGTTTTTGTTTTTCAACTAAGACAAGAAAGATAGATAATGCGAAAATTGGAGTGATTTTTGAATACGAGTTCCGACGCGGAAGTAACGCGGCAGAAACAGCCCGCAATATCAATGTTGCGTTTGGCGAGGGATCTACTAATGAACGCACCGTGCGATTTTGGTTTGAACGCTTTTGTCATGGAAACTTCGACTTGAAGATCCTAGTCAAACTATCCAGGAATTAGCGGCATGGTTTAACGTTACCTTACCCACAATATTGATTCATTTACGTCAAATCAATTTAAAGAAAATGTAAAATGGATACCTCATGATTGATCTGCAGAAAGAAACGCGAGTTGAAATATGTGATGCCTTGTTGAATTGGTAGAGAAATAAAGGAATATTGGATCGAATTGCGACATGTGATGAAATGTGGATTCTTTATGATAACCGTAAAAGAAAAATGCAATGGCTGACCTCAAGTCAAACGCCACAACAGACTCCTAAAGCAAAACTTACCAATAAAAAGGTAATGGTAACTGTTTAGTATTCACTATAGTTTTGGTTAAGCAATAACGGCAGATGTCTATTGTGCCGAACTCCGAACAATATTAGCAAAACTAGCAGTGAAATAGCCCCGACTCATGAATCGTTCTTTACCATTATTGCTCCATGTCAACGCGAGACCTCATACAGCACGAGAAACCGTTTTGTCCCTTCAGGACCTGCAGTTAGAAACCATTCGTTATCCTCCGTATTTGCCAGACCTTACTATACCAGATTACCAATTTTTTCGTGATTTGGACAATAGGGTATTTGACACTTTTCTGAAAACTATTTTAAATCGTTGTTTGCTACATTATAAACACACTGTCATTATATTTCATTAGAATCTTTTCTATTTTTGGTGAAAATAATTTTTAAAATAGAAATGGCCAAAATCGCGCGAAAACGCTGCTCTATGCAATGGCGCTGAGCGTGACATCACAGGCCAGTAAAAATGTTAAATCGACAAGTAACAACTGTCTTTATAGTAAATTGAAATAATAATTTACAAGAGAAATTGAAGTCGTAGTGCGTATTTTTTACGTTTTTATTTTCCTCTACTTTTTTATATAAAATGAGCTACAAGTGGTGCGTAGTGCCACAATGTACTAATATTCCTATAAATAACAAACAAACTTTGAGTCTAGAAGAAAATAGATTCATAATCACAATAGATTAGTAGCTATATAGAGAAGAGATGGGTGATAAAATTAGGTAAGGATTCGCTAAAAGTATTGAAACTTTTTTATTTCATATCGATACATTTTTTCTATATCATAAATATTTTACGAATCATTTATATTTGTTGACAGGGCTCGCATTTTACAGCCATTCGACCAACAGATGGATGAGATATTAGTACGAAAAAGAATGTACTATTTTTTTTATACATGTAGTATGTCGGTCCACTAAATAAATGCATGGCACTTGATAATTAGACATCAGATCCCGATGATATTTTTGATTAGTTTTTAACTCGGAGAACAGTATATATCAACTAAATCCACTTTGTAATTTTGAATTATTTACAAGGCGTTTTCCCTATTTCTTGGATTTTTTAAAAATCTTAGTAAATGATTCTTTCTTTCTGTATTTCTTTTTGGCAGTTCTTATCAGCAGAAGCGGCAAAGTATTCTATTATCAGTAAATTATTATAAAGTACTCGATACCTACAGGCATCGGTATTTTATGTATCTTTCTATCACTGCTTTGACATGACAGCTGATGACGTCACAGGCCAGTAAACAGAATCGTGATTGGTTGTGACAACGACCAATTATAGGACGTTTTCGTCGTTGAATAAATTCCTAAAAATATTGCATTTTCTTTACATTATTTTACTAAATCTAAACATGTTTTTTCTGCGGATGTTATGAAATAAGCTTTATTAGATTATTGTCTATCAGGATGACCACAAAATAAAACTTATTTTCGATAGTGTCAAATACCCTATTATCTACGTGACAAGAAGTTTTCTTCCCAGAAGGCAGTACAAAATGCTTTTACATAATTTGTGCAGTCTAGATCCTCAGAGTTCTATCGCAAAGGTATAAATGGCCTTCCTATTAGATGGCAGCAATGTATAGATAATAATAGTAACTATTTTTATTAAATAAATTGATTTTCAGTAAAAATTGGCAATTTCATACTTTAACCCCTATTTTTCAGGTACAAATACTAGCTTTTGCCCAAGATTTTATATGCGTGTTATAGTTTCTTGAGCAGAATTATTTTTCTTTTAGAAAACTTCTGTTATCAAATATTTATTTATACTTATCAATTGCCTAAAAATAAATTTGGATAATGACAAATTTTCATGCAAATTTCATCCCCTATTTCCATTTCTTTTTCGCGATAAAGTGTAGCCTATGTCCTTTCTCAAGGTTAGCTCTATTTCTGTATCAAATTTCATTAAGATGGGTTCAGCTATTTAAGCGTGGAGCGTACCAACACATTTTGTTGTACCGTAAATAGTAACCCAAGATTTGGCTGTATGGCTTAGTTCCTGCGCCTGTTCTTTAGACGAAACTACTATTAGTACCGTAAATAGTGACGCAACAAATAAATATGATTACAGATAAGTGATTATTTTTTGATTAGCGATTATAAAATTAGATATCGATTTGTTTGTGCGTCAGGCATGCATCATTTTCTTTGTTTAATAGTAATGAAAAAGTATTAAAAAAAGAAAGCACTAAAAAACCCTCACTAGGTGGCGACTCTAGTATAAGTTGATTTTTGCAGGAAACGAATGGGCTAAATATAGTCATACGTCGATTGAGTACAACGTTACGTTGTATCTTATTTTTGAAGTGTCAAAAGGGGCTTCATTGTTTTATGAAGATTATAATAATAAAGACTTGACTCTGGTTTCCCATCAAAACGCAAATACACACACACACACACAATATTTTTTATGGCTAAAAATAATACTTATAGTTGGTTCGTTATATTCAGCCACATTTGACATTTCTCAAGCTCAACTTTAAAATAACCTTGTGACTTATATTATTCACAAAATAAGAGGTCCCTTATTTTGTGAATAATATAACTTTGACACTTCAAACAAGATAGAGCGTAAGGTTGTACATAATCGACGTAGTGGGAAATAAATTAATATGAAGCAAATTGATTATAAAAATAGCATATTTTTAAAATTAGGGTTGTTTAGTAGTACAGAACATTATTTAAGTATTATTATTTTACAAATTTGAAAAAACATAATCTTTATTTAATATGTAACGTTCCAAAGACACAAGTTAATCGTTTATTTTCACATACATTATTTGTTTTAAGTTCAAATTGTTATTTATAATTATATATAGTCCGACAACTTAAAAAAAAAGCTTATTGAGTATTTTGCTTGGATTTTATTATAGAGTGGACAAAACTACGGTTATTTATTTTTAGTATTATTGATACGTAACTTTAATAGAAAACAAATTCAATATAGAATAAAAGAAAAAAATCGATATATTGAATCATTGGTTTTCTGATCGATTTGTTATATATTGACTTACCGATTTCAATCGACTTTGACATTTGCATGACTGCTTATTTCTACGTAGTCTGTGTTCTACGTTTACGTCACAAACGCGAAACTTTTTCTTTCTTTCTGGAACTGTCAAAACAGTAGGAAACATGGCAGAGGTTCGTGAATTAAATTTTGATCATAAATTATCACAGTAATCGTAATAATTTTTAGCAAATTAGTGAAATCATATCATCTAAGTATCATAATGGAATATTGTGGAAGTGACATTTTTAGTAAAAGTGCTAAGAAGTTGTTTACATTTTTCCACAGGTTGAGGAAACTCTCAAGAAGAAGCGTACTTTCAGGAAGTTTACCTTCCGAGGAGTTGATCTTGATCAGCTTCTTGATATGCCAAAGTAAGCAACAAATAGTATACAGAAAGAAGCGTATAATTATGTATGATGTCGAAAGACGTTTGGCGATGTGGTATTTTACGTGATAAATTTCGTTTAATTTCATTTTATCTTTGTAAAGCCGTTAGGGTTATCTGTAAACTTATATGTTATTATGTTAATTTCGCTTTTGTTAAATTCGAAAATATATATGTTAAGTATTATTTTGATTTGATAAATAACCAAAAATTACAGTGAGCAGCTTATGGAGCTCATGCATGCTCGTGCTCGCCGGCGGTTTGCCCGTGGGTTGAAGAGGAAACCAATGGCACTGGTTAAGAAGTTGAGGCGTGCAAAGCAGGAGGCACCTCCAAACGAGAAGCCAGAGATTGTTAAAACTCATCTTCGCAACATGATTATTGTGCCCGAGATGGTGGGCTCCATTGTGGGCATCTATAATGGAAAAACATTCAACCAGGTAAGCAAATATGTTTATAAATTTGATTCAATAATATTTGAATACATAATCTGTTGCTGTTGGTTATTATGGATTAACAGTATTTAATAGTTTCTGGCAGTGTTAATCTTTTCTTTACAAAGAATCTGGAACATAAAGATTAATATAAATGTTATTATTGTTGTTTATTAATTGAGAAATATTATATACTTAAATAGCTCACAAGAAATTAATTTTGAAAAATAACAGAATTTGTATACATTGATGCACTTATCTAAAATTAACCTTTTTTTTTGCAATAATCACACTTTTCTGGAGCTTGCTTGCTCCAAAATCCAAATTTTAGCTACTGTGATCTCTTAATATAATCTGCCAGAGTGCTCTAGGGTAATCACAAAAGCAGGGACATTAAAAAAATGAAATTTAACAAGTAGTGTGTTTGTTCTATCTAATCAAAACTTGGTAAAAGAAAAACACCTGATTTGGTGGCAATTCAACATTTTTAGAATTTCACTGCTCTTAATATTAAATAGTGTGTTGGTGGACCTTTATTATTACAATGACACTAATCAGAGAGAGTCTTGAACGTGTTATGAATTCATATTCTGTTTAATGTGATGTTTGAACCCCTTTTCCTGATTGATCGTTTCCAATAACTAAAGTTGATATGTTATGGGCAATCAATTCTAGGTATACACTTCTATGTGGTAGCTCCAACTTAAGCATGATGAATTGTTGGTAGATACTATTTTTGATTATTATTATGAAAAAAAAATATATATATATTTTGTAAAAAATGGGTCAACAAACTAAGGGTCAACAGTATGTCAAGCTTTACACAACTGTCTTTTCCATTTGATTTTAAAACCTTAATGCCTTAGCAGGTACAGTTCAAAATCAATTAAGAAAATTTAATATATCATGGTAGTGAGGTGCAGTTGTGTGTAGATAACTTTATGGAAATGGTGTCTGTAAACAGTATTCACTATTTATGTTCTGCAGAGCAATTCCGTAAAAATCCAAAAGTGAATTCACTCGTGTGTCTGAATTCCCATCATTTAGTGTAGAAATTTTAATGATTCCATTTTTTGTATAAAATTATAAAACATAATTGATTGATCATAAGTCTTATACTTGATTTATTATACTTTTGTTTCAGGTGGAAATTAAGCCTGAAATGATAGGCCACTACCTTGGTGAATTCTCTGTCACATACAAGCCTGTCAAACACGGTAGACCCGGTATTGGTGCTACCCACAGCTCCAGATTCATTCCACTGAAGTAGGTGGAAACTGTGAACTTAGGTTAAGTTTAAAATTTAAGCACAGTTACTCAATAAAGTACCTTGTGTCAATATTTTCTATTTATTTTTAGTACATCCTTTCATTGTACTATTACTATTATGTATTGTATGTACTATTACTACTTATTAATATTATATTAGTAGCTTTTGGCTGCTTTCTCTCAACTTGTCACTTTAATCTCATCAGTTGTTAGTAGGCAAGTTCAGAATCGATGATCTTGCCTGGCCATAACAGCTCATAATGAATAATGCCCTTCCAATATCATCACACAGCGTCACCTTGTTGTGGGTTAACCCGGGTTTCGACAGTCTGTGAAACCTTACCAACCTTTGATCACAAACTTTTTTTATTTTTTTGTTTTTGTAATATAAAATGAAAACTTAAATACAATATTCTTTGCACCCATAAACCTAGTTAGGTTTGTTGTGGTGCTGTACACTCTCAATATATATAATTAAACATAATAAATCAAGGTATAGCTTCTTTTAAAAAAAAAAACAAAATATGAATCATAATTTAATAGGTTTTGTTTCGTTCTTGTCGTGTGTGATCCAATTTTTATAACCAATTATCAGCTTTAAAAATAGTTCACTGTAAAGAAAAATGAGTACACAGTTCATTAGGTTTCTTTCGGTGAGCTTGTGAGATACCGAAATGTCCAACTTTTTTGTGTATCCATCTTTTCAAATAGGCGACCGAAACGATGTGTAACTTTGACTTCAAAATTTCTGGAATGAAAACACTAAAGCCAAATTTGTGCTACTTTCATAGTAGCTTTCCAAAAAACATTACTAAATTTTATCGGCTGCTACTCGCTTTGCGTAAATGGTCCCTAAAACGTGTGTCAAGTTTGCAGAGCAAACTTCTTTGATTTTGACTTGAATTTTTGATTCATGAAGTCCTTTATTTAACAGTCCGTTACAAAATAGGGACTAATTTGTAACGGACTGCTAAAGCTGTGGTAATGGCAGACATATGTACTTTTGTACACTAGCAGACTAAGAGAGTGGTTTGCCCCCGGCTTCGGGTCTTGGTGGGCCTCCAAATGGGCTACCGCCATGCGCCAAAATCATAATAAAGGTTAATCCGCCACTGCTTTTGGGGATAGACTTTGTGGTTATAACGTGATCAAACCTAGAATCGGAATAATTATAGACCAAAATTACATGTGTAACACCTACCGAATTCTATCAATAGATAGCAAGCAATCATCTTAAGTTGATATAAGTACATAGTTCTAGCTGTGGTACTGCCAGACTGATGTCAGGTCAGCAGAGCCCCATAGATTTTCGTTTCGATGCGCAACAACATTCCAGCGCAAAAGGTCGTCGGCGACTGAGCGGCCGGAAAATACCGACAGAATAATGAAGCCGCCTGGCGGCTGGCTGGCGGGTGGGGCTTTGATATCGAGGGACGAACTCGGTTCACATTTTTTTATTTGTCTTTTGATATCACGCATTTTTTAATGTTCTTTTTAAATGCTATTTTAATAACAAATTCCTCAATGTTTTTAAAACAAAGTTCATTTGTGTTAATGATGAATCGCTGGAAGATTTGTGAGTTTATCGAGTTTAATTAACGATCCCGTTGTTAAAGGAGTATCACCCCATTCAAACAATTTTTTTGGAGAACTGCTCTTTTAAAATAACGTAGGTTAATGTTAGACTGATCTCTCTACAATAATTTAGAAAATTTTACACTCGGTTTCTTAATTGAGAATTTAAAGTTAAACGTCTCAAACTAACATCACTTAGTTTTCGTTTCCGATTTTAGTTTTTTGATGATCAGTTGATAGCAATTTAATAAAACTAGGACTATTTGACTTGTGAAATTAAAGAAAAACTTAGGTTATTGAGAATAAGCAGTAGAAATTTTCTACTTTTTTCAAATCAGAAACCGGCTGTTAGTCTGTAAATCGATTTAAGCATTTTGATTGCCATGTTTATTGATTGTCTGGTATAATTTGCATGAAAGCAGTCTTATAAATCACAAACTAGTTTATTTCGTCTTTAGAAATGAAGGAGTCAATGACCGATTAAAAAGATTTCCTTAGTACATCCCAAAAACAGCTGACTTAGGGTTGAAAACACTCATTCTTTTTCAAAAACTTTGTGATTTAATATCTCCGAAACCATTTGACCTAGACTTATATTTTTTTTTACATCATATTAAAGACAAATAGTACTCTCCAGGAACCTCGGGAGTGTCGGTCGTTCTGTTCCACCGAGTATATACAGATAATAAGATTCAATCAGTATATTGACAAAAAATCTTCGTATTTTAACATCAATAGGGACACTATTTTGTATCGGGCTGATAAATAAAGGATTAGATTGATTAGGAATTCATTACAAAATTCAAGAGGAGATTGCCATCCTAACGTGTACGTGTCACCCTCTGAAAGAAGGCAAATACTTAGATTAATAACAGCCTTTTCCCAGACATTGGATCGTCCCTGTGGGCTAATCTCAGGGGGGTGCGGGCAGGGGTGTCAGCCCTTGTCCGCCGATCCGCAGAAGTGAGGGATGCGTTAACGGGATCGCCGCCTTCCATTTCGAGTGTCGCCCGGGCCTCCCACCTGGACTTCCTACGGGCTCACCCCAAGGCTGTCCCCTCGCAGCACCCTCGTTTCCTGGACCAACCTGGGTGGATCACAGTTTTTTTTTCTTGCAAGAAGTTGGTTTGTTATCATACTAATACAGTATAATCTCACTAATCCGGCACTTCGATAGATCGGCACGTCCAATAATCCGGCACCCTCCGCCCACGCCTCCCTTGCCCCTCTACACCTGTGTGCTTCGGTAACTAGCGTCGTCGCGAATAACAATCTAACCTCAAAACTTATCACGTGCTTACGTATTGATTTCCTTCAAGTGAGAATAGTTAAAAATGTCAAATAAACGCAAACACAAGACACTAGATTTGAATAATAAAATAGAGATTTTAAAGAAGTTAGATAGTGGAGAAAACATGTGCAAATTGGCAAAAGAATATGGTGTTGGGCGCGCTACTATATATGATCTTAAGAAAAAAAGGCAAAAGATACATTTATTCCCACTGTGAAATCGTTCTTTTATTCATTACCTATAATTTTTTCACTATAATCCAGTAATCCGAACATTCCAATTAGTGAGATTGTGAGTGGATTAGTGAGATTATACTGTATTATGAAGAGGAAAACTTTGTTTGAATGAATGTTTGTTTGTAATGAATATACTCAAAACTACTGGACCGATTTTAAAAATTCTTTCATCATAGGGCATAAGGCATATTTTATTTTGGAAAAATAGGGTTCTGTAAGATATTTGGGTTTTTCGGACACAAGGTGTAAAAAATCAACCAGAAGTTTCTTATTTTGCGTACGCTGCCTAAACTGTAAAAGATAGAACCATAAAATGTTTTATTAATTGTAGATCTTATAAATATCTACAAAAAAGTCCGCGACAAATCTATGTCAAGTGAGATACATCAACAATTGTATTTATTTAAACATCTTTTTTTTTTGGACTACATTTAAATTACTCATGCTATTAATCCTTATTAAAATAAATTATTTCATCACTAAGTACAGTTTATGTAGATAATATTTGGTCTTTGAATAATTAAAATTGGACGTTTGGTTTTGAAGTAGTGGCGAAATTAAAATATTACGATTTCTGCTGCACAGTCCGTTGCGAAGTGGACTTCATCAAGGTGGGGATGCGCGTTCGGGAGGGGAGTTTAGTTTTTGATAATGCTTAGGTAAATAATATCAATTCCCTTCTCCTGTTTAACTGGTACAAAATTAAGCTAAGTAAAAATATAATTAATATCTCTGTTGACGATAATAATCGAGGTGACGAACTCGGAATGAATGTGTGAATATTTTATTTTATTATTAGTATTATTGTTTGCAGCGGAGACCTGTTACGTGATTCATGATAAATTACATCATAATCGTTCTTAATTTTGTACATTCTTTGACAGGTGAATTGAAGCAGAATAAAATTTAGAATAAATGGGTAAATTTTTGAGTGTTAAGGCCTTAAAAGTTAAGGTGTCCTATGATCTTAATAAAATAAAAAACTATAATTAGAAACAGACTAAACTCTTGCATTCTTGAAAATATACTTCGTAATTTAACCGTGTTAAAAAATTGATTCGAATTAATATAAAACTTGACTTGAAGGAGATTCCACGTCGAATATCCGTCTTATATGAGCGGGTATATTCCTAGGAGGACTGTCCCTCTTCAAAATACGCTCACAAAAAGGTAATTTTAAAGATATTTACTCCCTTTCACATTTTAAAGCACCAAAACTAGTCTTATCTATTAAATTAAAAAACTGAGACAAAATCTTTTAGTCTCTTGAAAATTGCGTTTTCGATGGTTGCAGTAGACTATTTATTTTTTATTAATCAATTTTTGTCATGCCATTTTTTTGTTTCGGACCACCTTGAGCGTTAATTGGGCCTTTACATGTTTGTGGAAACGTAGGCCTGTGCGCAGGTTTTAACTCATTCCCGAGGTAAGTTTCTTGGGAAATGTGTTATTGTTGCCGTGTGCGAACAGTTGGGCTTGGAATGATGTATTGTGTCGACAAAGTATGTAAATGTAAGTATGTTCTAGATAGTTGCCATGATATCAATAAATTAATGCATATTAATGAATAAACCTAATGAAGAAAATAAGAAAAAAGTATTGTGTTTTAAAGACTGCCTCACAAATTATTAGATTCACAGCATCTTAATCTATATGCAAGCACTCAAATTCGAATGACGGAAAAAATCCAATTTGAAAACTCACCCAAATATATGTACATATCGATCAAAGTATTCCTAATCGATACCTGGTGGACATCTACATCGTTTATTCATGTTAAGACGACGGGACGAGCTGATTTTATTAGGCTTCATTAAATACGTTAACCTTTCTCCTTCCATATATAGTTCCATTATATTCATTTAGTGGAACATAATACACTTGCATTACCAAGCAAAATGAAATGTCAGCTAACATCGTCGC